AAACAGCAATTATACGTTGTGTAAAGGTCAGATAAGGTGGGCAGGTAGATGCAGTATGATTATCAATGATTATATATAATATATATGCGCATAACTTTAAATGTTAATCACATTAATTTGATTAGCTCTTATCTATATTATTTAATTACCTTTAAAAATTTGGACTCTCAGTGCGGCAACGTCAGAGCTAGGTATCCAATCAGTGCTGTAGTATTCGTGAACCTTGATTTTGCTTAGTTGCAAACTCATGGCTGATAGCGGTATTTCGCTTATTAAATATGAATGTAAATACTATAACTAAATACCTCATAAAGAATGACTTCCTACAAGTTAGATAACAAATGTACAAAGACCGTGTTTGCTAAAATTATTACAAATTATAGTTGAATTTTCAATGAAAAGAGGCGAAAACATTTCCTAAGCTTTCCAATAAATCTTAGATAAATTAAGGAGGCCTTTATTTCCACGTGCAAATTTATTAATTAAAGTTAAGAAAGTAAATATAAAAATATGTTATATAAAATATACATCCTATTTATATAAATTATATATCAAATAAAGCTCGATTAAGAATTAGGAAGATAAACCCGAATATTAAAAATAAAGTTGATTAAGACGGTATTTAAGAATTTGGTAATATTTTAAACAAACACAAAGTAAAAAAAAAAAAAAAAATTAACGAAAAACATCATAGATATTTAAGAAGAAAATTTACTAGCAAAATAACTAATCAAATTTAAACAAACTTATCATTATTTTTATGAAATAATTAAGATTAAATCATTTGAGCTATTCAAGAATTTACTGCATAATATAGATTATTTAACCTCTAGCACCTACTGATCTTTCAACTTTCTCGTCCTCTCTCTCTCTCTCACTCTCTCTTATCACGGCGGCTTACTCACTCTGTTTCTTGTTGTTTATATTTTTCAGTGGCAAAAGCATGAAGTCAGCACAGTCTATTTACTATATCGTTGGCTATTGGCGCTGATATTTCTGGGCGTTTACATCACTTGCATCATTCTGCAATTCTGTGATGGCAAATTTTTTATCTACATGACCAACTGGGGCTTTGGTCTGATCACGATCACAATGATAGTTGCGGCCGTGAATGTTACACGCTGGCACTACGATCTGCAGAATGTCCGGAGTCTGGTGCAGGAGGCGGGACAGAAGGCGCGCACATCATGCGGCCTGAAGATATTCTGGTGGCTGTATAATATATCATTATTGCTGGCACTAATCATATCCACAGTATACTGGATATTTCTCAATGGTCGCATGAGTGAGTTGGCGAATGCAATTCTGAATTTTATACTAAACAGAATACTTACATAATTCTATTCAATGTGCGTAGACAAACCAACACGATTTCCGGTCATCAGCATTGTAACGCATGCTCTGAATACCGTTTGTATGCTGATCGATTTTCTAGTCGTTGCATTTCCGCTGCGTTTGTGGCACATGGTGCAGACGATGTGTATGGCCATCGCCTTCTTTCTGTTCACCCTCATCTATCACTTTTGCGGCGGCACCGACGAGTAAGTAGCCCGCACTCTTAAAATGTCTATAGATTGTCTAATTAATTATTTTCGATTTGAAAATCTAAACGCAGATTCGGCAATCCCTATGTCTATCCCATACTGGACTGGAACAATCCCAAGCGCTGTCTGATCACCTTTGTCGGCATTTTCCTAATGATCATCTGCTATTGGGTGCTGCTCTTTGGCGTTCACAAATTGAAGCAGGTCTTCAATCGAGCCTTCAGCATTGTCTGGACACCCCATGCCGTTGGCCTCATATGAGATCAGCTCTCTATCTAGCACTGACTAAATACAAACAATACCATTATCATATCATACTGCACTCAAGTAGTTATAGGTAGTACCGCCCGCATTATCTCATTATTTCCATTTAGTTACATAACTCACACACACACACAGACACACATTGATTGACACACACTTCCATGCACACATTCTATGCCATTTATTTATATCAATTTATAGCTGTATGCAGTAAATTATTGTTATTTGGTAACTACTAGCTCTGCGATTAATTTATAAGTACATTTCTACTGGTTCCTTAATGTCGAAGCAATGTACAATTGCTTTGGCTATATATGTATATTTTAACTCTATAAACAGATGAATAAAGCTCGTTGCTATGGAATCCATTGCATAAAGATTTCGTTTAAAAACAAATTTGAAAACCAAACAAGAGCATTTTGTAACTTAAGTTTTGTTCATACCGAAAAGCTATAAAAATGATACAAAATCAAAAAAAAACTATTTTTCTTACAGATTTGATGTGGCAACAAAATAAAATAAAAAATTAAATCTGAAGAAATATTAAAAATTATTCAACTAATTTATCATTAATATATTTATAGCTTTATACATTCCACTATTAAAAAAAAATACAAATATAATTATAATACAAATTTATTGGAAAATAGCAAACTGTAAATATAAAATAAAAATAAATGACATAAAAATATAGAAATACAAAAACAAAAAACAAAAAAACTCATAAAAAATTAGTTTACAGATATAGAATATATATATATGTATATATATAAATATATAAAATAAAAACAAAATAAAAACAGTATTTATAAGCTATTAATTTCAAATATAAAATTATTTTGAAACTTATAAAAATCTAATATAAATATATAAATATTATTTTATAATTTTAAATCTATAATTTTTAATTAAAAATAAAATAAAATGAAAATAATTAACAAATAATGCCAAAAAACATTGATTAATGCAATTAAATAGACTGATAAATAATAACTAAATTTAACGAGTATTAACATTTTACAGCATTTTAAGAATTGAATAAAAAACTTTGTTAAAGATAAAACAAAAATATAAATAATGCCTAAATGATTCACACGATATAAGAAACTCAATTTTCTCTTCTGTTGTCATTCATTTGTAATATAGAGAAATTAAAAATTATATAAAAAAAAAAATTTATAAAAAATAAATTAATTGATAGGAAAAGATTCTAAGCTATTTTGATTGAATATATAAAAATAAAAGATAAGATAAAAGGGACAAAAAATTATTGTGCAATTTTATAATAAATATAATATGCTCAGAGTTAGAGTTAGGGTATAGAGACCAATGACATATGCATAAACTAAGCCAACTACCGAGGCACAGTGCACATAGGTAGACAGACTAGCACACATACACGCAAACGCACACATGCATATGTACATACTTATGTATGAATGTATGTATGCAGACACAAATCTTTTGTTACACTCTGTTTTTTCGCACTCTCTCAAGGGTTTCATATTCGTTTACCAAGTGCTTCGCTAATTCTTGCTCAGCCCCTATCGATTATATTTCTATGAAATTGAAGACAATAGCTAGAAATAAACATGAATTATGTTTGGTTAAGCTGTGACACACATTAAAAAATAGCATTGTTGTGTATATACAAATACAGTTGAATACATATGTATTTATAAATCAAAGAACCAACATCCATCCAACCCGATATGTCATCATATTTTAAATGATTGCCAAATTATTTGAGTAAGAAAATAATGCCATCATGCTACACCGAACCAAGCACAAACGAGTTCTTCCAAAAGCTTGCAAAAGAAAACAGAGAATAAATGCGGCAAAGGAACATGAATAAGCATAAAATGAAAAGAAAACTGTACAAAGTTAGTTAGAAAGAGATTTGAGGTAGAGGCGGATTGCTTTTATTCTGTTTACGACGATTGCTGAAACGCGAAAAAGAGATGAAAGACTAATTAGGTCTGTTTCTCTCCCGAGGAATACTACAAAAGACTGCAACGAATTTCATCGTCGTCAGCTTTAATCGTCAAGCAGAAATAAAAACCCAACACAACAACAATAACAACAAAAGGGTAGTACACTCAGCGAAACTGGAAAACAAAACTGACAAAGAACCTTTTAATTGGCATACCATGTGTACATTTGGGCCTAGTTACTCAATTAACAAACCGGCTTTGTTTAATTAATCTAAACTGTTTTAGAGTTACCACCAATAAAATGAATGAGTCGCCAACTCCAATATGCACTGGATTTGAAACGGTTTTAAATTTATTTAACTGCGCTCAAAGAGTGATACTCCATGTAAAAGCATGGACGTTTATATAAAAACATCTACATTTATATCCGTAATTGGTTATTTATTTATAAAGATATCTGAATCAATTGTCGTGTACGCGAAATTCAACTAAACTCACCTGTGCTTGTCGACAGCGCAGCAGCAGCAGCAACAGCAGCGGCGGCAGCAGCAACATTTAACGATCATACGGTATACGATGCACGATATACGATATACGATATTATATGTAGACGGACAGTGGGCAGAGGCATGGTAAATTCTGTGTGTAAGAAATTAAATGAATGAGAATTAATAATAATAATAATATAATACAAATATTATAAAAAATATATATATATATATAAATTTTTAACTAAATATTAAAAACTATATAATTTATTAATTACACTATAAAATACAAAAATTGTAATAAATTAAAATATGACTATTTAATATACAAATTAAAAGCTAATTTTTGTTTATGTATATACTATATATTTTTCTTTTTTTCTTTTATTTTATTTTATTTTTTTATTTATTTATTTGCAATCTGTTTTTATAACAATAAGCAAATTGTTTATATATAATGTAAATAATATTATAATATAATAATACAATAAGATATTAATACATTTTCACAATTAATGAAAAAAAAAAAGAACTTCAAAATTAATAAACAGAAATTAGAATTAAAAAACAATACAATATATTTATTACTATTTTTGTTATAATAAAAAAAAAAAAAACAATATATTTATATTTTATGTAACAAGAATTGGTTAACGCTCAGCTGCGCAACTCTGAAACTCTTCATTGAATCACAACGAACATGTTTGCAACCACTGTGCGACGCGTCGCAACATTTGCCCGCATCGCCGTTGGCCCAAACAAGTTGCGATCAGTTTTGAAGCGCGCGTCGCGTCAATAAGTCGTGATTTGTGCTGATAGCGCTGCAGATCGGCCCGTTACGCTCAGCTGGCTCAACGATCTTGAAGAAGTTTGCCTATGTCTTAGTTAGATTTGCGCTTGTTTGTGTTTTTGATTGTGTTGAAGTCTTTGGTTCTCTGTGCAATGTGTGAGTGCTGTTGGCGCTGCTGTAATACAAGTTGAAAATGCAATAAGCCAAATACAATATTGTCCAGAGCCAGGCACCGTTATGCAAAGTTGTTGACCCAAAAAGAAATTACAACAATGCTTCAGGCTGGCAGTTAGGCTGCTAAGCCACGCGTATAAAAACACGCAAAATGCGCCACAAGCTCGTCAACAAAAAAAAAAAAAAAAAAAAAAATATGAAAAATAAAAACAAAACGCTAAAACTAATAATAATAAAAACCAAAAAATAATAATACGAAAAAAAAATAGCAACAAATTCGCACAGCTCTAAGCCAACGTTATTGTTACAACGCGCTTAGCCCATTTCGAATTGCGTTGGCTTCATTCTTTTTGGCAACGTGTGTGGAATACTCAATGCTTGGGGTTTTTTCTCCACTTTGTTTGTCTCGTCTATTTTAGCCAAATAGTGTTGCCAAACTTGACAGATCAGTCGTACAAATATTAATGATCATTGAAGCCAAAGCAAATAGAATTCAAGTGCTTGAATAAATTTGAGAAAGATTTGAGATTTATGCAGTGTTTTTTTTCGCCTTGCGCATTTGCAAATTCAACTAACATACTCAAATATTTGTCCATTGAGAAAGATCTTAATTGTATACAGAAATATATGGATATATACATACATACGTATAAATATATTTATATATATGTACATGAACTCGATCCAAGTACAAAATTTTAATTGGCTCATTTATAAGCATGTACTTAAAATTTACGCACGTCTCTCCGTTATCATTAATAAGTGACTTTTTTATTTTGCTTTACCATATCGAATTTATAGCCTACTAAAAGAATAATTACAATACTTAATAAAAAAAATATTGGCTCCAAATTCAATTGAAGGATTAATCAATCAAGCAATACTTGATCGGATGCACTGAAATTAAAGAAGGTATGCTAAGAATATTATTGGAATGGAATGAAATATTGATGAAAGTTTTAATATTTAAGAAAGAGTGTATGTTTAAATTTTAATGAATGATAATAGGTCTCTTCGAGCTGTTAAGCGAAAGTTTTGTTATATAACGAAATATTGATCAGCAGAAAAGTTATTAATAATAACATTCCATATGTTATTACATTCCATAAGTTTATGGGTTTTATATACTTATTTTCTAAACTGACATTTTTGTAATACTAGTGGAAAAAACTTATTGAAATAAATCTGTTATTTAATTATTTTTAAGCAATTATTTTCCCAGTTCAATTCTTTTTTTTAAATATATATCGAATTGATTAAACATAATTTCACTTTACAATTAAAATATTGATTCAATTTAAAATGTGCACGAATAAATTTAATAATTATTAAATTATTTAATATATAATGTATAATTAAATATAATTTTTATACTAAAGATGTTTTTCAGATCATAATAATATAAAATATTACTTGCATTGAATTCTCAGATATTGAGAATAATAAAAATCTTAAATGTTTTATAGGTTTACTACTAAAATTTTTAAATTATTTTCCACAAGAACTAGGTACAAAACTCTTGAGACACATTAAGCTTAATTGAAAACTTGACTGGTTTCCAAGTATTTGAAGGCATTTATCTGAAATTTAGAATGAGTAGAAAAATTAAGTATATTGTTATGCTGCATAGAAGAACTGATTCATTTTTTGGCAATCAAGAATTCGACTAACTGGAGGTATAACCAGAAAAGCATCATAAAATCTTGTTAATATGTATTAACCCTTCTCTAACTCTCACTTAAGTCTTTCTTCTCATATTCATAATACCCCATTTTAATTCATTTCCATGTGCATAGGGTATAGAAATTTATCTAAAAAATTCTTTATCTAATTGTTAACAAGGTCGCACACGCTGTTTATTGAAGACGACTTATCTGATTTATATACATAAATAATTCTAATCAGTTAATTCACACCGATAATAATGCAGCCAACCGATCTTAGTCAATAAGCCAATTAGCATCTGGATGCCAAATAAATCTGAAGAATGTTAACAATAACTTTGGCTGAAAGAAAATACTACACAATACCCATATGCAAATGGGCAGAGTAATGCAAGTCTATACTTTTGCTTTTTTTTATAGTCTTCTTATTTATTTATTTCATTTTTTATATTTGCATTGGAAATGGCGTTGAACTCTTCTGATTTCACTTTCCATGCGATGAAATTTGAAATTGAAATAAAGCAAATTTAGTTAAATTGGATTGTTTTAAATTAGTCACATGCGCAGCTGGAGAGTGAGATCTTGAGATTGCTTTGTCAGCAATTATATATATCTTATCTCTGGGCTCTCCAGCTTTATCATATTATTGTATCTTTTGCTTTTGTGCTGCGTTCAGTTGGTTCATTTTGAATGTAAAGGTCAACAAGTTTTCATTCACTTTAAAATTCGGCCACAAGTTTTTCAACAACAAGAATCACGGCTTAATGTGGTACACATGCAAGAGACATAAACCTAAATAGTATACACATATATGTACGTGCATAGATACATATGTTTATAATTGTATATACCTTTTATGTGTTGTGCACACACTTATCTGCTGCTCTTTTGTTGTTGACGAAAATGTGGCACAAAAGTGAATGAAATGAAATAGTCACAAATATAAAAGATGCATATGTGTGTACACCTAGTAACCATGGCTAGTTGGTAAGGTGTTAACATAAATAGTCGGTTTGCTGGGACCCCTCCTACTCTAAAAGACGTGTCTCTTGAGTTTCTCGAAGTTTGCTTTTCGTTGGCATTCGTGCAAGTTCAGGGCCGCGAGTGTAGTACCTCATTAAATGTTTTATTATTTCAGTTTTGCTTTTGCTCATATTTTCGTCGTCGTTTTGAAAACAGACCTGAAATTCAATGCGATGTTTTGTAACTTAGTAACAGATGATAAATATTTATTTTATTGCTCTACTTTGTTTTTAGCATTTGGTTGCTCAATTTCAAAGAAGACTTTATTGGAAAAAGAAGTTTGTTTCTCCATTTCTAAAGCAGCTGTCGAAGAGTGCATAATTAAACAGAAATAGTAGCTATATCATAATTCAGATACACAATTATGCTGAATATTAAATAAAGCAATTATTATTATTTTTTTTTTTTTTGCGATAATTCAATTTCATGTGCATAAGCTCAAGTGTTTTATACAAGGACATAATTAACTTAAGAATAATCGGTGTACGCTAAGCGGAAGTGGACAGAAGTGTACCTAGTAACAAGATAGTACTATAAAATATTTTCCGAGTACTATAAAATATTTAAAAAAAATCGGAACATAATTCAGTATAGAATTCTCCTATACAATTTTGAATTTTGATATTAGAAAGTTGATATTTGTAAAGTTATAAACTTTAAAAAACCTACAAAAAAAAAAAATAAAATAAAATAAAATAAAAAACCTATGTACATTTTAATTTAGTTAAGAAACGTCTATAAACGATCACCTTTAGCTTAACTTAAAATAATAAGTTAGAGGATTTTCCGGGCAATAAACTGCTTTAAGTTTCACTCAACTGTCCCAACTTATGACTTTTTAGTTTTTTTTTTTTCATTTTTATCGTTTAATTAAGCAGGCCATTATATGACCATAAGCTGAGGTACAAAAACTTCACCATGTGAAAATCTATGACCTGGCACTTCAAAGCAAGCAGCTTTCAACTGTTTTATAAATTACCTAACGCTCGACTCAGACTGTGACCTACAGTACGAGTTTTTATTGTTTTTATAGTAATTTTTATATACGCATGCTCACCTTGTATTTTGTTAATAATTTCATGACGCCCTTTTTAGTGTAAACAGTGTCGACCTTAGCTTAGTTCATTGTTTTATTATAATGAATCGGCGATTATAATAGAAATGTATTCGTATAGAGAATTTTAAGCGATTATAATTTTGCATAAATAATATTCGAATGCACTGAAGTGAATAATAGTGAATCACTCGATATTCAAAAGTCATTTATATAGCCATTAATAAGCATCGCGTATCGTTGAGCTTTAAAATGCGCTGGATACGACTGAAACCTGAAGGGGTATATATAGGTCTATAGTAATAATAAACGAATAGCTGGTAGTAACAAAACGTTTGATTCCCAGTACAAAATCATTTAAGGTGTGAATTATTAGGTAAAGAGCAAGCAACTACAATATTTGGCGGCTTCAAGGCCAGACATAAAGATGAGTTTATGACATCGTTCGATGTCAATTTAGAGAGTGCTTTAGACCATATAAAAATATAGTTCTTAGGCTCTCTAAAATACATTACAATTAGTTAACGATGTCTGATAGCTAAGAAAAACTTTTCATGATAACTGACCAATTTAAACCGATATTATACTATACCGATACCGATACGATACCGATACTAATAATCTCTGAAGAATGCGATAAATGCTTTGTCAATCGAAATAAATGGAAAATGCCATGGTAAACTTGGAATAATATACTTTTAATTGATCGATACTCCTCCAGCTAACTTCAAATAATATATAATTTATACACTTTGTAATCGAGCTATCGACTTTCGATACAATTTATGCAGTTTAGGGGCAGGTATCCTAATTACATTTTTATTAACATTAATGAATTGTTTTGGTCGGAATCAAAATACAGTCAATTTCGAATATCTAAACCAATTTCAAGCATCCTGTCCGCCAGATTCAGCATCAATTTTATACGATGAATACTTGTCGTGCTCGTGTAATACCTCTCTGGCCTCGTGATGATCAGCTCTGCCCAATGTCTGAGAGCGGCCATATATCTTGATATAATGCTTGTCGTTGTCATGAACCATTATACCACCGCCCAGGCACTGCGTGCATAGATCTAACTTATTGGCTTCCTTTTGCAACTGATCATAGACGTCGACTGAATGGTGTAAGTAAAAATATTTACTTTCTTTGAATGTCAAGTCTTTCTCAATGAGATTTTAGCACTCACGATGGTATTTGACTCGAGGTACACCACGTATTACAGTCTTTGACTGGCCCATTTCGCCATGTACGTAAACCTTGGCAAGAATATATTTCAGCTTTCCTTCGCCAATATCGACTTCTGGAAACGCCACAAGATTCTTTACCTTTGCATCACAACACATACGGGTAACTTTTCAAGGGGGTTTCAAGAATAAATTAAACCATATGGGTCCATGGGCAAACCAATTGAAATATACAAGTTTACCTTGCAGCACTGGACGCCACGTTGTCAACACCAACTTTCTTACTTTGTCCATGTCCAAAAATTTAGAGCGAAAATAAAAAAGTTTTATTACAGAAACAAGATTCGTTGTTGACGATGAAAAAAAACAATTATGAATGAAAAATATGTTGAAAACAGAAAACACTACAAGTTAGGCTACTCAGTTGATGAAATGCTTGAAAAACTTGTCAATGTACTAAAACAGTTTCAGATCGGTTTAAAGGAATAGTTAAAATATGCGTGTAACTTTATTTGTAAGAATATATTATATTTTATATTTTAGATATCTCTATTAATTTTCTTATAATTATTTATAGAAAGAAATCTTCGTTTGAGACACTTAAGACTGTATATACAAAACCTATTCATATATTTTTTAACAAGCTTCTGTAAAAAGTAGTAGAGGGTACAGCCATAAAGCGTATATATTTTTAATCAATGATGACTTGGATTTAAATACCTCCTGTCCACACACTTAAAGATATCAAAGTTTGAGTCTGTTCTTGTATGTCAAATTTATACAGTGTTTTTTGAAAACTCATCTATATTTTTTATCGATAATAAATAAGCTATGTATTTATGTTTACATTTGTTTTAATTAGGCCATAAATTAAAATGCGTAAGAGATGGTTTCACTGAATTACAGAGAATACATCCATCATTTCAAGCTGCAACTTGTGGCTTTTTCCCCTGATCTTGAGACAAGGAGTAAAATGACGGACCTCAAGCTTTCATTTATTTTATATTCTACACCGACTCAGCATATGTAAGCGAACAATACGCAAATATCGACAATATAGCGGCATTACTTCTCACACAACTCTCACAACTTAAAGTGCTACTCTTATAAAAATTATTGTATTTAATGATTCAAATGATTAAGTAAAGACTTTAACCCTTTCACAATTGAAGAAAAATTAATTTAATCACAAATTAATCATTGTTCAATGTTGTACAGCTCCGTTTGCTGAGTGGTTTTCTAGTCGAACAGTTCTTGCTAGTGCAATATTACATGTTTTCCGTTGTGCCATTTTATACCATCTCTACCTCATTTACCGATCATTTTTGTTGTACTGCTAGTGCAATAGTTAACTACTAAAATTAAAGGTTTAATTGTATGTACGTATATTGTAAATAAACAACTCGCATGAGAGAATGCGCTACACACGGCATTACGATATTTTGAAAAATTCAATATTTTTTTTTTAAAGGGATCAACAAATTCCTCTTTGAAATATTCTAGGTGTCAAACTATGAAAGATATGCTTAACTTGATGGTTTAAGCGCAAAATAGGTAAATCTATATTAACTTACTTCATATTAACTATATTAATATAAATATATATAGAATAATAATAATTAAGCATATCTAATCTAAAAGTGAAATACTATACACTTGTCTACTTTATCAAATTAGTCTTTGTCTTTGCGTCTAATTATTAGTTTTAATGGGAATTAGCTTCAAATTAGTCACATTCATCTTATATTTGATGAGCAACTTATTTTTCTTTCATCCACAGCTCACAGCTTCGACGCGGCTACACAAATATTAGAAACGGGTAGAACTATGACATTTCCACAAATTGCAACTCTGGAATAATAATTTGCGTTGCATGTCTCGGTACAACTAAAAAAATTGTGAAACGGCAAACAACAGAATCTCCACAGATCAAACAACAATAAAAATTGCTAAACAGAAAATAACAAAGTGCATTTGAAGGCCAACAAAATGACAAAACTTCAGGTGATAGTACTGCATCCAGTAAAAAAGGAATTTAAACGTAAGCACTGCGGCTTCGATCATGATACGCCCGATGATTTTGTCAAATCGCAGGTAAGAGCTCTAGTAAATACAGCGCACTTATAAATAAATAAATAAATAGGTATATATAAGTACAAATGTAAGCCTATAAATTGTTATTTATACTGTACGCGTCCTTGTGGCCTCTCCTTCAAGTGACACGCACCGGGTGCGTAACATTTGTATTATTTATATGGCCACAAATATTTATCGATGGGGGTCAATGTACATGCTGAGTTTAAACTGCCTTACTCCTGGCCCAGGTATATGAAGGCCCAGAGGTCATCAAGAGGAAGACAAAATGAGCTGATGAACGTTAGAGTTGGACATGTTGAATGAGAAAGTTGTGTTAGAAAATGCCTATAGTGAAAATACATATTTCTAGTATGTTAGATAATGGATATTTCATTGTAATAAACAATATTTTAATTTGTTATTTATATACATATTTTTTGAAAAATTAGTTATATTATATTTTGTATATAAATAAATTATATTTATATATATATATATAAATTAATATTTTCCATTTTATTTTATTGTAAAAAAAAAAAAACATTTTGCATTTTTTTATATAAATTTTATGTAGTGGTAGTATTTGACATTATCTCTATGATAGAAACCTTTCTGCTAATATATATTATCCAATAAAAGCCAAATTTCTTAATAATACCAATAGAGTCGTTCGAACTCTAAGAGTAAATAGGTTTAAATAATAGGTTTAATAAATTGTATATATGTACTATAACCTCTAATATTTTATACCATATTATTATACATAATTTAAAGTGTATATATATTATAATATCCTCTAATATACTAAAAGAACTAAGAGTATATAAACTTCATACGATTATTTTTCAGCAAAGTACCACAAGATTAAAAAAAAAAATTTATAAATAAAATTTTTAGTATTAATATATATGTATATTTTTGTTTGTTTTTAAGATAATATTTTCTATTAATAGACTTATTTCTCTCTATAAAATGAACTTTGCTTCATAAAAATACAAAATGTTATATACTATTATTTATATAAAAAAAATATATATACATACTATTTTTTATTTTATTATAATATATATATATATATATATATATATATATATATATATATATATATATATATATATATATATATATATATATATATATATATATATATTTGACCTAAAAGTATATTTTGTTATACATAAACATCTATTGATCGATTTACGTTGCTCCTGCAGCAATTGCCTCTATATAATTTTCTTTGTATAATCAAAAGACCAAAACTGTAAGAAATGGGCGTTGCCCACTGACTGGCTTCAACCATTTTATTGTTTTACCTTGAGCATATTTGATGAGGTTCTTTCATTCAATAGTATCAATGGGGCGGTTGGGTGGTAATTGGGCGAATCGGGTGGGATTCGGACACCCGCTTCTACTCGCATTGTAAATTAAACTTTTAAAATATTCATAAGCGGCAAACAGGCAGAACTAACTGTATATTGCCATGCATCGTTTGTGGCGCCAGGTACAACAAAGTGGCTCATTGAATAAAGCTAAAGCGAGACTCTAGCCCTTCAACCTTCTAGTATTTCGGTTGGTTTGGTTAGACTAATACGCACACACCCACACACATACAACAAATATAGTCGTTCGACTTAATATTCATACTTAGCTATTCTGAATTACAGTGGCAAACCTGTACAAAGAGTATGGTATATTTGCTCTATCGCTGGTTCATGGCTCTCTTCTTTATCGCTGTTGTCATTAAGTCGATGTGGCCGCGATCCGATGATGAGTCCAGCTATTGGCTCTACTTCATCTATATGACCAATTGGGGAATTTGGATGTGCATGCTAACCAATTTACTGGGCGCCGTACTCGTCACCATTTGGCACCATCATCCCGAGTATGCGGGTAAGTTTGAATCCATCCGTCACGTTATACGATCTCAAGCACTCACTTTTCTCCTCAGATAAGCTGCTCAACATGAAGGCTTGGGTAAGCCCTTTTCGAATTTATTGGAGCATGCACATTATAACTCTAGTCTTATCGATTGTGATTACGATCATTTACTGGACCGTACTCTATGATGGTAAGCCCTGCGTAGTTTGTTGTCTTGTTGTGATCTAGTTTAAATTGTAAATTCTGTTTTCTCCTCTACAACTATTGCAGCGAATGAAAGTAATTTGGATGCCACGAATGTGCTCACCCATGCATTCAACTCGATTTGCATGTTCATTGATCTGTGGATTGTGGCACATCCGTTGCGTTTGCTACACGTGTTTCTGCCCGTCACATTTGGCATTATCTATGCCATATTTTCCTACATATATCATTTATGCGGCGGCATCAACAAGTGAGTAATCGTTGTATCCAAAATTACTTTCCCATTATTCATATATTGTTTTCATTCTAATGTAGAAAGGGAAAGCCCTACATATACCACGTGATTGACTGGAATCAACCGAGCTCAGCTCTTCTGACTGTTCTATGCGTCTTGTTGCTCTCTTGCTGCATCTACGCCCTGCTCTTCGTATTCTTCAAGCTGCGTCTCTATCTCTCGCGCAGCTGTCGTCAGGGCAGCTTTGTCTTACCCACCACAAGCAAACAGGCTGGCAATGCCAGCGAGAATCAGGCCACAGCCAATGGCATACAGCATTCACCCTCTCGCATCTCCATGGTGCTGGGCAACTATGCGGGCTACGAGAATCAAGCATACACTCCCAGTGCGGGCGAGGCAAAGAAAACAAAGAGTTAGACTATGTTCAGAATCCAGATGTTCAAAGTATTGTCAGACTATATAGGTTGCCAGAAGACGTGGTCACAGTTCCTAAGAGACATGTATATAAATCAGATAGATGTCTATCCGATTTATATCTGGCAATCTAATCTAAACTCTTTGTTCTTACGACTTTAGTCAAACTGTACAGTAGAATTTTAACCCAGTGATATACTAAATAATTGTAGCTAATTTTATGTAAATAATTTTTAATATGAATAAATATATAGTACTGATAAAAAATGAAATCAAAATAATTATGGGGTCAGCATTAAATATTTCAGTTAATTATTCCAGTAAATTTGTCCTTGCTTAGTTTGTCTTTCTTCTAGCTATCCTTGACCCATTTGACTCCTTCCTGAACCGAGCTAGATTCTCCTTTTATGGGCTTTCAAAAAACACATATCCTTGATACTTAACTTTATCTGTCCTTAGATGGATCAACATTTACATACCATGGAAAACACCCCAAATATACATTAGAAATTCCATAAATTAATCAACGTGGTTAAAGGCTTTATTGTCACATTGTCATATTGCTTAGCTCTTGGCTCTTACTTGGGAACTTTACAGTTGATTATTAAATATTAATGGTCATATTGTGAAAAGGTTAAATGATGGGCGGCAAAAGTTTGTCTGCACCTAAAAATGCTAGAACAGCAGGGAAAAGCCGATAAAACCAAAAAACGCAATAAAATAACTATAAAAATGGGAAAACATTTGAGTAATTGTCTAAAGGATTTTGTTGGCGACAGCCAAAGTGTTGAATGTCAGTGAATAATCCGCGCAGACATCGAGCATTAGGTGAGAACCTGTGTAAATATTTTACACAAAGTCCTAATCACATTTGAATGGCTGCATTAGCACTAATAATCTTGATCGAGTAATCAATCACAAGGCCAACACGTTCTCGATTCTCTAACTATAAATAGCACAATTTGTATAACAATCAAAATACGTATTTAATATAATCATAATTAAATCTCAGGAAATTTTCCTCAACTGAATACAATCTACTTCTCTTGACGTCGTACAGCCATTAGTACCTTAACAGAGAAATTTGTATACATCTATTTAAATATTTGTTTTATTTTAAATGAATTTATCTGAACTTATTTAACCAATTAACGACTGCCTCGTATTATAAAAAGAAAATATTGTCAGTGACCTAGACAGTAAGAAATATATAAATTTCTCGATAAACGTAAATATTATGAACATCAATTCATTCAAGAGAGTATAAGGAACATTGTTTTCTCTATTATTATTTATTATTAATAGGAAAATTCAGATATTAGTACATGTTATTCAAATTCGAATATATTAAAGATTCTTTTTTCAATAAAAAAATTTCCTAAAGCAGGAAAAGCTTTACTTTCCAAACTATTTTAAAATTGATAAATTAACTCTAATATTCAGTATGCACTCAAATTCGAGTGGGCACTATATAACATATCTACAGTCAATATCTCGCGTCAAAATGGTAAAAAGAAATTCCTTGAAACTAAATTTTGAAGAATTTCTCTAAGTAATATATATAATATATATAATATAATAATTTGATCATATTCAACTGAAGAAAATACAATTTTGATATGCAAGAACATAACTTGCCAAATTACTTAGACAACAAAAATGTTTTTTAAAATTAAAATAAATTAATAAAGGAGAAAAAGGAGGCTTGTTGGAATTATTTTACTTTTTGAGTACCTTTTAAGTAATCTTTTCAACACATATGCACACACCCCATAGACTGTGTCCTTAATCACAGCTGCCCGTTCCCTGTTCACACCCCTTGATTAGAAATGTAATTGGGGAATCAATTGGCCCAGCTAGACGCCAATATTCAGCTCTAATTTGTTGTTGTCGTTGTTGTTATAACAATTCTTTATGCCCGCTATAACATTAATTAAGTTTCCAAAAGCATTTAATAACCGAACGCCCAAAGCCGAACCTCAAGGACGAGAATCACACACGTGCTGCTGCTTGGGGCACCTAGCGCCGGCGATGACACTGCCCTAGTTCGTGTATAGCTGCTCAATCGCCGCATATTCCCCACATGTTGAGGACCAACTAATCAAAAACAATAAAAGCGAATTGACAATACTGCACGACTTGGAAATACCCTAAACAGTGGACTAAAAGCTGGCCACAAATTACTAAATATTAATATTATACAAAATACTGATTCATAGGATATATGCTTATAAATCAATAGATAGGTATCATCCAAAAGTATTTACCTATGTTTAACTCTATTTAGTCTATGTTTCAAAACCAAATGTAGTATCCAAATGACTTGAGATTCTGGAAAAACATTTTAACTTCCTCTGCCTAAGTCATACAAGGATAACTAACTCAAAATGCATAGTTCGAAATCATTTTAGTTATCGAGACCCAGACATTGGAAGGATTTTTGATATATTTATAGATGTAATCGTTAGAGTCACTAATATAACCTGTTTAACAATTGCAATGTGCGCAGACTATAGAAACCAGAGAACCCAGACTTGATTTTCCTGCGTGTGTGGGTGTGTGTACCATTCTCATTTATAACTATTGTCCTTGCCGACGGGTCGACGAGCCGACTCCCGCGGCGGTGCCACACGGCATGTCACAAGTTCCAGGTTAGACACAAATTAGGCGTCGCATCTGTTTGGGACTTTGGATCGATATGTGAGCATTTTGATCGATTTGAAATTTCCTTGAGCTTTGAACTTCTTTTCATGTCCTTGTCCTGCCTATTGACCCGCGCTTTGTCTTCTCTCTCTCTCTCTCTCTTTTCCTCGCTCTCTTTTGCTCTTTCCCCGTCTAGCTCACACTCTTATCATTAGCACAAACAAAATCAATAGCAGTTTAATTGAATATACTTTGGAAATTTCGACAGCTGTCAACTGTCAATGTCAGTTCAACGATTCCATATTTCGTTTTCACCTTAAACCAACAATATAATTAAATGCAATCAATAGTGTAAAATATTAATTGACTATTTGTCTTTGCAATCCCAACCATCCATTCGCACAGCCCATTGGCGTCCGGACTTGATTTAGCAATTTAGATTTGTGGTTCCGTCATGATTGTGCAATTTTCCAGATATCAAAAAACGCATTCAGCCCATTCAAAACTAAGAATACGTGAACATTTGACATGAGTAATATTTGGAGCACAGTCCAGGACATTTCAAGAGGTTTAAAAAGAAGGGAATGAAATATTATTTAATTGAATATATTTATTTATTATTATACTTCATCTTTACAATATATATATATATATATATATATTTTAATTTTTTTTTTTTTTTTTTTGGAAATTCTATTAATTATTAAACAAAAATTTGATATTAAAAATTCAATTCTAATAAATTCTTTTTGGATCTTACATTTAATTTGCATTCAAAAAAGTAGCACATATATGGGAAATATTTTTAAAATTATTGCACATAATTAAAAAAGAGAAATTTATTTTAAATAATGAATTTTTTTAAATTTGAAGTAAGCCAAATCTCTATACTGAAAATAAAACTATCATCTATGTACATACATATGTATGCATATCTCTGCTCAAAGAATTACACCTTCAGTGCTGTAAAACGATGCGATTTCTGCGCTATCGAAATTTTTTTGTCAAAATGTTAAACATCAGCTCAAAGTTTCTACATTTTACAGCACTTAACAATATCTTTAAGCAGTCTTGTAAAGTACACTACTTTTACAAGAGAATATTAAAGGCAATAAATTGCAATAATTATCTCATACTACAAGTATAAAAGTTTCACAACAATGTGCAAAAGTTGTATGGAACATTCTAGTTCTATTCGTGTGATCTGAGGTGTCGTGAATCGTTGAGCACCTGCAAGTCTGAGGATTTATTTACACCGAATAAGACAACAACAATCAAGGATGTCGGCCGGATGGCAGCAACGCAACAATATGACACCATAAACAAAAGAGCAAAGAGAAGGAGCGAAAGAGAGAGAGAGAGAGAGAGACAGAAAGAGATAGAGCAAGTGCTTGAAAGATTAGTGAGAACGAACGCAGGCTGGGCAGGATATTGTTTGGATTGCATAAACAAACGGTATGGGCACACACGTTGTTTGGCTTTCGAACAACAACTTTCCAGGGCTGTGCAGCCGGTTCGTATCTGCCCACACACACATACACACCAGTTAACTTTTGTGAATCATGTGGACGACTGGAATTCATAAAGTATTCATTAATTGGAAACGCGCGCGCCCTGCCTTTTGCTGACCAATTGCCGAGGATTGCGGTTGGTAAAAACCGAGGCAATTCTCATATTTCAAATTCAGTCTTGTTTCGGACGTTCGGGCAGCAGAACCTGCATAAGTTACCAACCGACCAACCAACCACCGTTCCGTAGTACCGCAATTCCACCTAACACCAAAATCAAAGAGACACACACGCTTTATAAATTGCAGGGGCTATGGTAACGGGGCCACCAAAAACCCAGCTAGAACCGGCAATATGTAGCGAAAAACAAATAAATAATTTTCACTGTGCGTGTTGCCAACGATAAACGCTAACGTGTCGCCCAGAGATACCAAAAAGTGGAAGCCCGTACACAACAACTAATAGCAATAAATATATTATACAAATCACAGAAGAAAAAGAAAAACCAACAACAAATATTAGAAAATAGAAAAACAAATCACTTTAAAAAAAATCGTATTCGACAAGTGCAAAATGTATGATGAGTGCATGTATTTAAAGCGCTAGTGGAAAAATCCATTTGATTTGATTTTTTTTTTTTTTTCAATATTTTGATTTATTGTTTAGCCCGCCAACTACTTGAACGAACTCTCCTCTCTACATATGCGTTAATTACGTAGCAGGAGTGGCGAAACGGGCAAAAAGCATTGCGCAAATTCCGCTATACTGGCCACCGAATGGATAATGGGTATTTGTTTAGACACAGGTAAGCAAAACATTGTGCCAGCTATAATGATTGAGCTATACTTGTAATGGTTGCATTAGCCCAATAAAACAGCCGGTCAAAAAGCAACAGTCAAAACAAACAAAGGCGAAATTACAACAGAAGCTCTAACAACAACCAAAGAAACATAAATATACTGAAAGAGCTGTTGCGTTATTCAACTTTTTGAATATTTCGGCTTATGGAGGAAAATTAAAAATATTTGTACGTTTAACATTTAAAAAATATATATAAATATTATATGCATATATCACGGTAAATTTGTAATACATATGTGGCTATTCAATTGAATTTATTGAAGTAGATTAGCAATAAATAGGAAATGATTTCATTTAAATACAACATTTTGCAATAAGTAAGGAATAAATTAAGAACAATAAATTTAAAAAATAACATTTTTTATTCTTGATAAAAGTAATTAAATAAAACAAATAACATAATTTTTATCAATTTTCATCAACGAATTATCTCTACTACAAATACACTCAAAGAAAAAATATTTAAATAATTTAATTATAACAAATTATAATTAATAAAAAAAAAGATTAAACCAAGACTTCGAGTTTTATCTACATTATTTAAAAGAATATGCATAATGCTACATAGATCTACAGTATATTTATTATATATTTAATATATTTATTGGTTTTTATATCAAGCAATAATAAATTTATTTAACAACTAATTGCTTTTATAAAAAAAAGGGTATTTGTGTTACAGACACTTCTGCATAAAGAGCTGGAATTTACGAACTTTAAAATACATTAATTTGAACTTTATTTTCATTTATATTCTAAATGAATTCTTTGAATATTTTAATTTCTATTTATGAAATTAAAATTGAATATTAAGTTGATTCGCATATAAAAACAGTTTTGAACAACATTCAATTTACTGGTTAATGTAAGAATTTTCGTTTTTAAAGAATAAAATAGATATGAATATAAAATGTACCTGCAAATTCATATTAATTGTAATAAAATTAAAAATTAAATTTTATTTTCTTATATTTTTCAAATTTCATATTATAAAAATAAAATTCAATAAAAAATAAGTATTAAATTTTAAAATTATTAAATTAACCAGTAAATTCAAAGTGTGGCTGAAAAATGTTTTTATCTAATATATATGAATTTTTAAATAAAATATTAAAAAAGTACAAATGGGACAAGTAATCGAAAATAATAATTTGTAGTAAACACAAAGTAGGTTATCAATTGTTACTTATCGATCTACTATACTGATTAAGAGCTCTCTTTGCCTTACAAATCATTGCGAAATTCATATTTAATAATTACATAATAAAATGCATTGCAAGTGTGATCAGATCTGTTTGCATTGAAACGGTTAAATACTATCTTTGCCCTTAAATTACAAAGCGCTTTGACAAAATATTTCTAATCCGAAAAGGACCTTGCACAAATACTATAATTTGTGGTATCAAGCCACGTTGGCCTCGTCGCACGGGTCCTTGGACATGTTCGTTGACCATCAAACGGGCAATAATCTAATATGAAAATCCGAAACACAACGCGTCACAGAAACGACAGAAGCAAAAAAGTAAACGGTTTTTGTGCGCTGAAAAGGGACAGCAACAATAACAAAACAACATGTCAATTAAATAAAACTGCAAGAAAATCAATATATACAAAAAAAAAAAAAAAAAAAAAAGTAGAAGCGAACAAATGTCACAGAAATGTAGAATTCAGTCGGACTGGAAGGAAATACGCGAAATTCTCGGATTTTCCATGAATGAAAAACAGTTCGGTTCGTGTTGATGACGCAATGAGCGGGCTTTCCATAATTTAATAATTGCTGAAACATATTTTAATGATGTGTTACACAGTACAGTTAATTTCCTACTTCCAATACTGAGCAAATTGCTTCCGGTCTCCGTGCGGTGCTAATGCCGTTTGGCACGTAACAAGGCGGGGCGCTAACTTGACGGCACTTCCGGCTGTCGTTCGCCCAGCCCTAAACTGTTGCTTGTGTACATGTTGCTATATATTGTATATGTATGTATGTTTATATATATTTTGATAGATGCCAGCGCGGCACAAGATACCGGCGAACCAGGCAACGATTGGAATCATACACGGAATCAGAATGGACCAAATGCACCGCCTGGCAGCGTATTAGCCATGAACGGCGATTCGGGCAACATCGGCGCCGTCGACATGCAGAATGCTGGCAAAATCAAATTCGATCCACCCAAGGTGCCAGTGATCTTCGTTTTGGGCGGCCCAGGTAGTGGAAAGGTAACCCATTGCGATACATTCATGCAGGAGCGACGCGGCGTTACGCACATCAATATGATGGATCTGCTGCAGCAATACGCAATGGGAAACGGTAAGTGAACTAATGCAACTATATAGCAAGCACAAATATAATAAAATATAAAAGAAATCATACCAAAATATATAAGTAATATATATTATATAATGATAATAATGTTTTTATCAGTTCTATAAACTATAATTTCAAAGTTTTAAATAATTACAAATTAAATATAATAACTAATAATAATAATAAATGCATGATAAATTCATGTACTCACACTAAAATAAAAATATAATAATTCCATAAATTTAAACAAACAAAAATAAAATAAAATTAATTATAATTAATAAATAATAAAAGAGACTTAAGCAAATGGGTTCGAGTACTAAGAGACTTAAAAAAAATAATTGATAAACCTCTACAGAGAGGGTCAAAATTAATTGGCAATAAAAGATTATTTCTTATAAAGTTTTCTAGTTTATATCACCCGCAAGGAGCGTGCATAGTTATATAATAAATAATTTATAAAACTAAGACTAGAATACACTTCAGCTTATATTACAAATTTCAAGTCGAATAGAGAGACGGACGGATAACAAAAAGAATATAGTACAAATTCGCATAATTGTATATATATATTATATGCTTGTTATATTTATTATAATATTACAAATTCTATTGATTTCAATTTGCATGCAGATATGCAAGACTTTTCGCAACTATCGTCGAAAACAGTCACCGAGGTGTTGATGTTGGAAATGAAAATGGCTCCAGCTGCCAAAGCATACCTAATATCAGGATATCCGCGCTCCATGCGCGACGTTGTCGAGTATTCGGAGAAGGTAATCAAAATATCTCAACTTTTCAAATTTATTACATATCCAATTAGGGCAAACCTTAATTTACGAAGGTGCTTAGTATAGTGCGGTTTATTATGAAACAATTTTAGTTTATTTGGCTTGTGTTTGTTAAGCAAATTGCTATTGCTGTTGGGCCATTTGCACTAATTAGCTGTCAAGTGGGTCTGCGTTCATTTGTTGTCGACTAATTCCCATGAATTTTGAAACGTACGCATAACTATGATCTATATTTATGCAAACACACACCAACATATACATATATGTATTTATTTATATATAAATAAATATGTCCATGTACTAATTGTCTCAAGTGGTCGCTAGAGGCATATTTTACTTTTCTACCTTGATGAATGTTAGCCAAACAGGTGTAAATTAGAAAAGGGAATAACTACCACACGTGGCTGTATTTATTAGATAAACTCGAATCTTTATTTATGTTCTTCCAAAATATTTTATTTAAGTAAGTAGTGAGAGTCATGTGTTCAGATTTCAAGATAAATAAAAACTATTATTATACTTAAGAGGAGTAATGCGATTGAGTTTTACCTTAATTTCGTTTAACGCCCATTAAATAGTATTTACTGTTTTTTATATATAACAAACAGAGATTTAATATTCGGTCAATGCCTATTTATAACTTTCAGATACAAGTCGTTAATGGAGTTATCTTAATATCCTGGCGTCAGTCGGTGCTACAGAAACAAATCGATTATGGTGCTAAATTAGGTCATGTTGTACTCTCCTTAGCCAAAATGGAATTGGAAAATTTCTTCAAAAATGTGATGCCAGTCGCTGATTATTTTGATCAAAGCGATATGCTATTGGCCGTGAGTAAAGCAGCTTGAATAAACATGGAAATGGTATTTATATAATATTCTTAATCTATTCCCATTCAGGTAAATGGCGAGCGTGCACCCACTGAGGTGTACAAAGACTTTCGCACCGCTGTGCTAGACATATTGAGTGCACTCGAAAATCAAGAGGCCATACTGAACGGAGTTACAGGTATGGGCAGAGGGATACATGATATACCCGGCAGTATAGTTAGCGTAGACACCGCACCTAGTCAAGCCCAAGCGCCTCACATTACAGACCAAGCCGTCGCAGCGACGGCGACTGCGACTGCGACTGCAACTGAGCCGGGTGAACGAAATGTCACAAATGCTGTGATCTCTCACATAGCCGCCAATGCAGCCACAGCCGCAGCGACACTCCGTACAGCAGGCGGCGGCGGCGTTGGCACCAGTGCGGACGATGACAGCGGCGTAGTGGTTACACAGCAGCCGAAGCTGAATCATGCCGGCACCAGCATCGATGCCAACGCATCCGAAACGGATCGCCCAATACCGCCCATCATTTGGGTCATCGGCGGTCCTGGCAGCAATAAGGCAACGTTATGCCTGAAGGCCGTTGCCCTCAATCCCGGCTGGGCGCACATCAGGTGAATCTATCTATCTATATAGCTCATATATATCTTGCAACTGATTCTCGACATATCCCTGCAGCGTTGGGCGTTTGCTGCGCAATATCACGGACTCTGCGCCACGTGCCAACACCGAAAGCTATGCCGTCAAAGAGGCCCTAGCTGCTGGCGAAATGGCGCCGGAAAAGTCGCTGAATCAATTGCTGGATAACAATATACGTCAACTGCGCGATAAGACCGGCATTATCATCGACGGTTATCCACGAAACCTGCAGCAGGTCAAATACTTTGAAAATAAGGTGAGTAATCGGAGTGTTTTCGTTATAAACCTTATGTTGACAATATTATGGATAATGTTCATGTGAAAATTAACATGAATATTAATGCCATAATTTACTTTTTAATATTTGTTCAGTATTTCTTTTTCAATTAATATTTATGTTGAACCTAAATTTAGAAATAATTAATTTTTAACAAATGTTTAATCTATATATTAAAAAAAAAATTAAAACTTTCAGTTATTTTTTATAGTATATATGTATATTTACAATGTCTGAGTGTCGGTGAGATTCAGCAAAAGCTGCCTTTTTCTCAGAATTCTATCAATGTGCTTTTTTTACCACGTCATCAAAGCACTCTCATCATTAGTATTTACTAGCATTAAACAAAATTCTACAACACTGTTCCTGGCATTGATAAAAATATAAATATCGATAAGATGCTCTATACCATAATAATTTTATTTCCCACAAATGAAATATTAGAAAATGTTTAGATATTTTGGAATGCAATATTTATTAATTACATAGGGATAACATTTCAAACTTTGTTAACTCATTTATAGAAAATATTCCACAATTATCTATATTTTTAAATAAATTATAAATATTTGCTAAGCCTACATAATTGTAATTATATTAATTAATTAATACAAATAATTAATCATTTATATTTATTTTAAGTATTTATAATTTCTAAGTCTAGTATTAATCTATTCTAAAATAATCTATTCTATAATTAAATACTATAAATATATTGTAAATGTTTTCAAAATCATTTAAAATGAACGCAAATTTAATAATTATATATATAAAATATATTGAGAAAATCATATTAGATTCAACGCATTGCATACTTATCAATTATATTGAACTAATGTAATTATTTTATAATTTTTTCTATTTATTCCACTGATTACTACAATTAGATTCTAATATATATATCTCCCTTACGTTTCAGTACAAACAACATCCACCCACCATACTATTGGACTGCTCGAAATTGCAGCTAGGTCGCGGACGCATAGATGATACAGTCTCTTCGTTTCGACGTCGTCTGGAGATATTCCGTGAGCAGACGCTGCCTATGCTGAAGACCATGGACAGCAGCAATCGGCTGCAGATAGTGAGTGAACTCTCTTGATCTTATATATAGTTGGCCAAAACATTCACATACATGCACATACTTACAGGTCGATGGCGACACGGACAGTCCGTCGGTGCAGCGGGAATTCGAGCGGCTCATACGCAATCACATACAGCAGTTGTCCAACAAGCTGGAGGGCGAAGATGCCAGCGAATCGTTGGGCAATCATGTGATGCGAAACGAGCAAACGGATGCCATACTGCACGACCTGGAGACGAATGTGCCCGGCGCTGTGCCCACAATCAGCCATCATGTGAGCATGATGAATGGCCATATCAAGAGTCGCGGCAGCGCCCAGCTGAACGCTAAGCGGCCCAACCAAATGATGAACGGTCATGTGGCCGGACGACCTGGCACTGGACCTGTCGCTCCGCTCGCCCAGCCCGTCGATTTTCGGCATATGCTCGAGGAGGCCGAACGCTATCCGGTCGACTCGTACATGTAGAGACTATAACATAAACACATATCGATCGATGACAAAGTTTTCTAGTTTTTATAAACGAAATTCTCGTATAGCCTAAAAGCGTCTAAATAGTTGTTAAAGTTGTTTTGTTGGTAATTTGATTATGAATTTTATAGCATTGCGTCACTTAGCTGACCATTTTTTGATAAACTACATAAGTAATGGCTAAAAAGCAAAAACAAAAAAAAAAAAAAAAAAGGTCGAAAGAAAATACAATTGTGGGCCAATTGATTTTAATTGAATTCAAATTTAGACAATTAAGTTTAGTAGATAAGCACAGTGATGTCACACGAAAATAGCTTTTAAAAAAATTGCCTTCATTGAAGGCCTCAATACAATTGAAGGTAGCCTTACATACATAGATATATAGCAAAACTAAGCATAAAGTGAATGCAAAAAACAAAAACGAAATCTAATTTAGTGAATCAGTTTAAAAGAACACGAATAAAATGCAGAAAAACCTATGTAGTCCTGATTTTTGAAAAATATTTTAACTATAGCTGGGATTGGCGTTAACTGTGGAGTCTGTGGATGGATCCATGAGAGAAGCTACAATATTTTATATATTATGTGGACCCAAAGAATTATTTTATATATTTCTTTATGATCTTAGGTCCACATTTTATATAATATATAGCGGGATTCTACGCATTTGGTCACCTTTCATTCAAATTTCATACTTTTACATCAAATTTCCTATGCTTTTCTAGAATACCAACATCTAATTGACATTTGTGCACTTCAAGGTCTCAGCCACTCGCATAATAGAGTGGAATTGATTACAATTATGCATATATAGACCATCGACGTTTTCGTATTTTATTAATATATAACAATACACATATTAACAAAATACGAAAACGTTTCATACCTAAATTTCTGATCATTTTACTTATTAATAAAAAAAAAAATAAATATCATTTTACTTGTTTTTATTATTATTTATTTTTATTTAAATTTTACAGGATCAAACAGCGCCTTTTCGGTTTCCCAGATTTAAATTGCGGATTTGGTACGTCTGGGGTACGTGGCTTTGCTTCATCTTCATTTGGCATGCTCACAGTCTCGTACTTTTCCTCGTATTTATATATGAGGCGACGCGAGAGAGGTGCCTTGGGGACATTTCCTTTATTGTAGCCTATTGCTTCATCCATTGTAGGTTTCCATGTCGGCTCATATGCTGAATCTTCATTGATGTTGCTTTCAGAGGTATATATAAATGTTGAGTGTTGTGCAGTGTAGACGTTATACGTGTCCCTTTTGCCTTGTCCATCAGTTTGTATTTCTCCTGATTTGTAATTCAAATTGCTAGTTTTTCCGAATATTTTTGGCAATTCTAGAACATCAGATATTCCTATTGGGTTTGGTGTCTTATCATTCTCAATCTCAAGCTTTATCTTCTTGGGCTCAATCGTTGTATCCTGAGTTTGAGTTGAACGAGTACTTTTCAGCTCGATCGGCTTGTCATCTTTATTTTCCACATTGATAGTCACATCAATAATGACCTTTTCCTCTTGTTGTTTGTTTTCGTCGGCGTTAATTGGTGCGACTTCGGAATGGCTTCTGGATTGCGAACGTCTACGTTTTAAGCTCTTTTTATTTTTCCCATCACACTTCTTATTTTTAGGATTTTTAGCGACATTTTCTTCGTTTTTTCCCATTTTAGAAATTGTTGGTAAATTATTAGAGAAAATAATATGTTTGCTCACGGTGACAAGCGCAAACTTAATGAAAACAATTTTAGTTGCACTGCAGTAGTTTGGCATGTCGCAGAAAAGTGTTGTACAACGTCGATAACAATTAACAAATTATCGATTAAAAGTGTGCTAAAACTTAAATTAGAGATAGAGATTTCAAATTTAATTACATATGTACATACAAAACTTAATACAGAATACGTTTGGTTTCTGAATTACATTGTTTTTAATTTCAACAAAGAAATATCACACTAAATTTGACGATATTGATCACTATTATTAAGCTTCACTTCTCTTGGCGCTGACTTAAAATGCCGGAACAGTCGATATCTTTTGCGCTTGCCACTCTTTCATGGCCCCACTTAATTTTGACTTGGGATAGCAAAAACAAAACTTTTTAGCCACATCATCCTTAATACACTCTGAACTGTTTTTGTAGCTATTCAAGCGACTAATATCTGGCACATGCAAGTCCTCAATAGATTCTAGTTCACGATTATAGCGAACGGTTGCCTGGAATTTTCCCACATAGGGATAGGTGCGGAAACGCAAGCGATAAACTACAATTGAGCCATACATTCCCACTCTGCCATTCTGCTCATAGGACATCTTCTGCTCCGCCATATCCATATCCTGCAGACCCAGACGCTGACAGAACTCATTGTAGCGTTGCATCAGCATCCAACGATTAATATGATACACAACACGCTTGCCAAGCAAATACATTTCACCATCCAGACTCTGTCTTTCAAACCCGTTGCAAGTACACCAATGCTCCTTGACGCAAGCGTCCTGACAGCTGCGCTCCGTGGGCAGCAGGTGCAACAGCGATTGACTACTCGGGCAACTGGCCAGCACAGGCAGCATCGCTGGCGTCGTGGCATTCAGCTGGATCAGGTGCCTCAGCGTATTATACAGATCAAAGTTCGAGCACAAGCGATTGTGATTCATAGCCAAGGCATGAGCGTACTGCGGATAGGTGCTGCGGAACCAGGGCGGCAGGTAGATATGCAACAAAGGTAAACGTTCCTCGAGGAAACTATCGGACAGGTCCATGAGCACGCCATCGCGTGCACCATGATCGCTCACTAGGACAACGATCGAATTATCAAAGAGCTTTGCCTGCTCGAGTCTATTCAGATAATTTGCAAATATACCATCCAGTCCGGAGGCAGCAAAGTTCGAGCTCTGAGTGATTGTGTTGCTCCAAAAGAAGCCAAACACTGGCCGATCCCCTTTCCGGGCAAAGCTGGCTGCGAACTGTGCACAAAACTCGTAAACATACGAGATGCTCAGTCGCCTGCCGACGCAGTAACTATATCCAGACTTTTCGTACATGCTCAATGCACTACCAATGCCCAAGAGAAGCGGCCGAAGATCATAGTCGACGGCCACATCCTCGAAGCCAGGCATATTTTTTAGGAAGGCCGCCTCACCGACATTGTCTTCAGCAAGAGCTGTAACATACCCGGCACGTTTGTAGTCGCTCCATATCCACGAACAGCCATCAGACTCTGGTGTACAACGATTCTCCAGTTGACCCATTGTATGACCCGACAGCATGGTTAACAAATTTGGTATAGTAGTGTCGGCCATCTTGTTGTACCCCTCCAGCTCGAACCAGCCCATTTGATTGACAAATCTAGCCGTCTTTGGCATTGTGCGCTGAAAGTTCATACGTGACATGCTGCCCAAACCGAGGACTATTACGCTGGGCTGACGTTCCACCGGCCGATTCTCGGTATTTTTACTCGTATCGTTCACTTGAATCACGATAATCGCGTCCCGCTGCAAAATTCTCGACCTGTTGAATGAATCATGGCACTCGACCATAATACTCTCCACATCTTGCGGCAAAGCGCATTGACCTCTAAAGTAAACTGGCGCATTTATGCTACGGGAGGTGAACGGGGTTTTAGGATAAGGGATAAAAGGGTTCGATAATGGGTTCGACCTACTTGCTGTTATGCTCGGGCCTCTCAGTGTCTAGAGTGTCTATTTTACGATAGCTGCAGTCGACACTGGACACGAGTGGATTCAATTTCAACAAGATATCTCGATCAACAATTAAATTGTAGTGTTTCGCCTGATCATCGTATTGCACTCGAAATGCATCTGTCGCATTGGAGCAGGATTTCAGCTTGGAGGGTTTAAGGACCTCCATTACCGCACGCGAAAAGGGATCGGCAAACGGCATTTTACATTTCATACTATTTACCAGATAACGCGTTGGCTTTGCAACCATCTCGAGCGAATCATCGTCGTCATCGAAACTGATGCCAAATTCATCGGCAAATCTAATTTTTGACACCTTCGGCTCGTCCGTCTGTTGGACTTTACGCATTCTATTAGCACGTATCATTTCACGTATTTGCTGTTCTCTTGCAATTAAGTTCGGCGGCGATGTGTCTGGTAATATATCCTTGGCTACGGCTGGGAACTGCTCGAACACAATATTCTGTTCATTGCTCTTGTTTCTATAATTTAGCCAGATGAATACCAACAATACTCCAAAGAAAATGAAAACATATTTGCGTAACATTAGCATCCTTTTAAGTCTTGGCATTCCCTCAGAACGAATTTTTAAAAGAGTTGTTTACCTCAAGTATTTACAGAAATGTTTAAACTAAAGCTGAATGAAGCCAAATATTAAGCATTATTTACCTAGAGTTCTTTGATAATATTTCAAATACAATTGTGAGTTTATTTATATAGACAGTCCTCACCTCCTGAGGCCACTTGATGGATATTAAGCTTATATGAATAGCATGCTTTCCAATAGAATATTTTTATTGAAAGCTCTAACGCTAATAACTCCAATGTATATAGTTTTTGGCTATTTAATAGAGGAGGTAATTTAGTCGTAAAGTTTTTAGTTTGACTATCAAAGATATATTATACACGTTTTCCTATAGACCTCTATAGAGGAATATAATATATAAAAGTATATCTGCACATAAATATAAATTATTATATAGTCAATTCCCCTAGAGGAGCTCTTTTTCAGGATCTTCATAGTAGTGTTAGCTTTAAATTTGTAGGATATACCGTTTTAGCCCATTTGCTACGCCCACAATAAACGTTAATAAATTCGATATATTGATTAGATTTTCGATTTTCAATACACAAAAACTACACTAAAAATTCCAACTCTTGCATCTCATATAATACGGTTACCGGAAAAAACACTTTCCGAACGGACAGACAGATGAATAACCAATATACTCATTTCACTTAGCTAATATGTATAACGATTGTTTTTATAAAAGATTCAAAGTTTATATTTTATTTTAACATGGAGTTCCTGGGTCGTTCACATTAATGGTATCAATCGAAAATGTTCGATTAGCCTCGAAGCAAGCGCAAAACTTTTGGGCAACGTGTTCGGAGACACAGAACGACTCATTGCGATACGAATTCAATCGTGTTATGAACTCCTCCTGTACCATAACATGGTTCTGCGAGTCGGTTTGAAATGTGGCACGAAACAAACCTCCATTTGGTCGAGTGACGAACTTGATGCGAAAAGTTTGAATTCTCTGGGACGACATCACAGGGTTACCATCATCATCGAAGATCTGTTTGCGTTCGGCCCTCAGCAATTTGGCCAGTTTTAAGCGAACACATTTCGCTGCATAATTGTGGCTAGCCAGATATTCGTTGATGCGATAGACAATTGTTTTGGCCCAATAGATCAAAACATTGCTGATGCGCACCTGAACATACGAGTCACAGGTGCACCAGTGCTCCGGTATAGCAGCATCCTCGCAGCTGCGATTGACTGGCAACGGTTCGAATAACGATTGGCATTTCGCGCAGGATGAATTGAATTTGAGACCCGATTGCCCCTGGAGTACGAGCAGGTGCTTCAAAGTTAAATGCAAATCGAATGTCGAGCTCAAGCGACGACGATTCCAGTCGAGCGCCTGCACAAACTCTGGATGCTGCTCTCGATACCAGGGTGGCAAATAAATGTGCAGCATGGGCAATCGCTCCTCCAGAAAGCTGGAGGCTAGGCTCATCAAGGCGCCTTGCCGCTGGCCATGATCACTGAACAATACTACAACTGCCTTATCAAACAGGCCGTGCTCCTTGTACCGCTCTAAGTAGCTCACAAAATCCCTATCTACACTGGTCGGCCCACGGAAGTCGTTGTGACTGAAGCCATTCGACCAAAAGATTCCGAAGATCGGTTTCGGGGATTCGTGAACAAAACGCTGCACCAGCTGCAGGCAATAGTTGAAGACGTAGCGAAAACTTTGCCTCCGACCAAGACAATATTCATAGCCAAAGTGCTTTACCGTATTCAAAGTGTTTTGGATCATAAATATAAAAGGGCGTAGGTAGAAATCAACCGGCTTGCGAATGAAGCCAAATGTGAAATAGTGAAATGTATCTATAGAAGGCGTGTCCTCGGCATAGGCCGTCAGATAGCCAGCGTCTTGAAAGTGGTTCCAGAGATACGTGAATTGATCGAAGCAACCCGGCTCATGAATGTTGCACTGAGCACGCCACTGACTCGATCTAAGACCCGTCAATAGAGACATTACATTGGGCAAGGTATTGTCCCCGATCTTATTATAGCCCAGCATCTCATACCAACCCAGCTGCCTCACAAACTGAGCTGTCAGTGGCATCGTTCTTTGAAAGTTCATCTGCGACATGGAGTCAATGCCCAACATTATCACACTGGGCAAGACGCGTCTACGTTTTACATCCTGCTGCTCATTCCGCCCGTCAGGATACTGGATAAAAGAGAATGCATCGCGTTGCAGGATTCGCGATCTGTTGCTTAGCTCGTAGCACTCTACGACAATTCCTTCAATGTGACGAGGTACGGCCCAGTTCTGGCCAAACGGGAGGGGTCCAACTCTCCTAGAAATAAAATATTTTTGGTCATATTTTTGCTTAATATTATAATAGCCCTTGTCTGCTCATTTGCCATTCAGATCGTTCAAACACACCAGGTTAAGGAATCATTTGCTCCGCGTAATACCTCATAGTAGACACACGAAAATTTTAAAATGTCTGGAAATAAATCTGCGAACACCGATTCGTGCACATGCACAATATATTGCCTCTGCATCCCATCATAAAGAACGGAAACCAGATCGGGCTCATCTGTGCACTCCTTAAATTTTTCTGTTTTGAAAATGCTCATGACATCGGAAGAAAACGGATCAGTCCGCGGTATTTTGCATCTGTGATCAAATACATTGAAATCCTTGTCAGTACTCAATGGCTTAACAGTTGTTTGCTCTGTGCTCGATTTGCCATGGAATATAGTTGAAAGTTTCGGTATGGTTGAACTTGTTTGTTCCTCAACAACTGAATTTCCATCACGATTGACAAGTATGAAGACCCAGAAGACTAGAATAATAGCAAGTGTTTGCTTTCTGTATTTCACAATCAGGTGACGAGTCATTTTTTATTTATTTTTTATTTCTTTACAATTTCGAATTTGTCTAGTTGGTGACTGTAAACTGAATGTCTGCTTTATAATGAATAAATAACAATAGATAGTACTCGCAGAACTTGCAGATTAGTGTGTTGTCTAAGGTCTTGGATAGTGCGAAATTTCCTGTTTCGCTTGTGTGTCCCTCACGGATTCATGAATATGAATAAAAAATTAAGCTTTTGGTTTGCAAAGGCAGATCTCCTTTGCGTTGGGCTCATCCACACAATTGGTCTTGTTCGGAATGACATCCAAACGTCGTATCCAATCCCCAGGAACTCGTATAATACTCGGCCCCTTGCTGCAATGAACTGTCGCATAGAAAATCGCTTTCGGTTGAGTGGTGAACTTCAAATGGAACGAAAAAATTCCATTCTGTGGCTCCACCTCATTTCCATCAATGTCGAAAAATTGTTTCCGCTCGGCTCTTAGCAATCTATCGAATTTTAATCGATAACACTTACTTTCAAAGTCCGGCCTATTCAGATATTGTGTGATGCGATATACAACTGTCTTCGCTAAGTCAATCATGTGCTGATTGTTCGCCACGGTCATATGCAAATCACAGCTGCAATAGTAATGGGAAATGCCAGCATCCTCGCAAGTGCGATTGACGCCCAGATTGACAAATAGCGATTGAGCTTTTATTGCCTCTTTCTGGAACACAATGCCGGGATGCACCTGCACGAGCAGATTCTTAATAGTCAAATGCAAATCATATGGGGAGCACAGCCGACGACGATTCACCTCAAGCGCGTTTCTGACGTCTGGATACTGTTTTCGGTACCAAGGCGGTAAATAGATGTGCAACATGGGCAATCGCTCTTCCAGAAAGCCCGAGGCCAACCGCATCAAAGGTCCCTTGCGCTGTCCATGGAGGCTGAACAAGATGACAACTGCCTTATCGAATAAGCCGTGCTCCCTGTACAGCTCAAGATACCTCACGAAATTCCTATCCACGCGTGCCGCTGCGCTAAAGTCCTCATGGCTGAAGGTCTTTGTCCAGTAGAGCCCGAAGAGCGGCTTGGGCGTCTCATTCATGAATCGCTGTACCAACTGCAGGCAAGACTCGAAAACATAGTGGAAACTCTCTCTCCGGCCCAGGCAGTAGTCGGATTCCCCCTGACCACGCCCTTCCCTTTCCATAATTTCCTTGAACACTTTCAGAATGGGATAGAGATAGTAATCCACGGGCTTGCGCGTGAAGGCTAAGGAGAGAGAATCTTCCGCATAGGCAGTCAAATATCCCGAGTTGTGAAAATGATTCCACAGGTAATTTAAAGCGTCCAAGCAACTTGGTTTCACCATATCGCAAAAGTGCTGCAATTGTGGCAGTGCTCGACCGGTGAGTAAAATAATTTGATTGTAGAGCATATTATCTCCAGCGCTAGTATAGCCAAGCATCTCATTCCACCCTGTCTGCTTCACAAACTTTGCAGTCCGTGGCATCGTTCTTTGAAAGTTCATCTGAGACATGGAGTCAATGCCCAACATTATGACACTGGGATAGGCCCGACTGCGCTTCTCATCGTTCGTTTCATTCCGTCCGACTAGATGCTGCACAAAAGAGAATGCATCACGTTGCAGGATTCGAGACCTGTTGCCTAACTCAAAGCACTCCACGACAATTCCTTGAATGGAACGGGCCACGATCCGGTTACTACAAGTAAATGGTGATCCCTTGTTCCTGAATGCGAAATTATGGTTGAATGGAGGTCAGCATAAGATAACTAAATACATACCAGATGGGCTTATCACTTGGTCCACTAACGATCTCGTAAAAGACGCACGCATAGTGGGTCACACTTGGAAATAGTTCCACAAATAGAGATTTATTAAAGCGCAATAGATATAGTTTTTGCTGTTTATTATATCGCACAGTGAATAGGCCGGGCTGATCCGTACATGCCTTGGGCTTGGGAGGCTTAAACATGGCCATGACATCAGGGGAGAATGGATCGACTCTTGGTATTTTGCACACATGATCAAAAACGTTAAAGACGCTGCACGAGGCAGTCGTTTGAGGTTGCGGGGCAGCAGTCGCTTTGGCAGATGCATTAATGTGGAGATTTTTATGGCTCTTTCGACCTTTCTGAATTACATCAACAGTAGCTTCACGTCCAATATATATATACATAGTTATAAGCAAAATTAAGGCAAACAGAAGTTTTCTATTGCCAATAATCAAAAAATTAAACATTTTCGTAATTAATGTTTGTTACGTTCTAACTTTACGACATTTGCTTAACAGACTTTTGAACTTGAACTGTTTTGCTTTGTATATATTTATTAGTGTTTTGGTTTATTACTAATAAACAGCATATTATGTTGAAAATAATTTCCATTAACACGAAATAATCGAGCGTAAGGAGATCTATAGATAAGACATCAAATTATTGGTAACAAATTTATTTATTTATTAAGTTTTAGGGCTCAGTGAATTAAGTTGATTTTTTAAACGTTTTCTAACATGATCCAACGCAAACATTTTATTTTATTTTTCGGCGGCTTTTGTGCATTGATGTGGATGTATTACGAAATTGAGTACTCTCTGGAGAATGTAGACTTCAAAACACGATTTACGGACTCCTCCAAGAAAGCGAGCCAAATTAAGATAAATGTAAACAATTTGATAGGAATGGAACCTAATCATACCAGACGTTACTTTGTAAATAGTGGAAAGTGCAAGATGCTCTATGCGGATCCCTTCTCGCCCGAGTCAATGCAGATCTATAAGCCGGCTAAGCTAAAGGTCTGCACAAAACAATCCGATCTATTTCACTTAAGCTTTGACCGCAACACAAATCGCTATTCTCTGCACGTTAATGAGACGATTTTGCTGCCTTTCGGGAATGGGATTCAGTGCAATTATAGCGGGATAAGCCAACGAAAGTATGCAAATAATAGTCCATTCTGTTGTTTAATTTCTCAATTCTAACATTTCCTCAAGGATACATGCGACTGTGTACTTTGAGAAGCAACATGAATTGCCCCAAAATATCAACGGAGTCATTGCGCAATGTCATGTTAAGCTGAACTCTTCACTCATCCAAATCATACAACAAGATGCATTTCCCTTGCATCAAGTAACTAAGGAAACGAGGCAAACGCATAGAAAACAGCCGAAGCGACAGCCCAGTGTCATAATACTTGGTCTGGACAGCATGTCGCGCATGAATTTCGAACGGACAATGCCCTTGACGGCAAAGTTTGTCCGTCAAGAGGGCTGGTACCCTCTGTCCGGCTACAACAAGATGGCGGACAATACTTTCCCGAATGTCTACACGGTGCTGTCCGGTGTGTCGATGATAGACGAGCACGCATTTCGTTGGAAAAAGTATCGAGATGCTAGAATGATCTGGAGAGATTACATTCGCGCTGGCTATGCCACAGCCGTAACCGAGGATGTTATAAGCATTCCATTATTTCGCCAGATATATAAAACGACGCCGATGCCTTACAATCTACGCTCATTGCTGCTAAGCATCGCTGAGACACTGAAAACCTACGTGAGTTTTGGCTATGATTACTGCATCGGACGTCGGCTGGCCTTCTCATATGTCTACGACTTCTGTGTCCAGTTCATCACACGCCATATGCTCGAGCTGAATCAGCCCATGTTCGGTTTCTTCTGGAGCTGCACATTCACCCATGACTCGTACAATGTGGCCACCAGTCTGGATCGTATATTCGTGGACTACTTGTATTTATTTGAGCAGCTGAAGCTGTTCGACAACTCGATTGTCATCCTAGTGAGCGATCACGGTGCACGTTTCGGCAAACTCATGGATCTGTCCGATAGTTTCCTCGAGGAACGTTTACCTTTGTTGCATATCTACCTGCCGCCCTGGTTCCGCAGCACCTATCCGCAGTACGCTCAGGCCTTGGCAATGAATCACAATCGCTTGTGCTCCAACTATGATTTGCATAATACGCTGCGACACCTGCTCCAGCTGAATGCCACGACGCCAGCGATGCTGCCCGCAGTGGCCAGTTGCCCGAGTAGTCAGTCGCTGTTGCACCCGTTGCCCGTGGAGCGCAGCTGTGAAGATGCTTGCATCGTCGAGCATTGGTGCACTTGCAACGAGTTCGTGAATGTAACCATAGAAAATAACATGAGGCACTTGGCCGAGATGATTGTCACAAATATCAATATGTGGATGCTGAAAAATAGGTTCAGCAAGAAATGCCAGCGTCTTGTCCTTACGGATGTTGACAAGGTAGAAGTCAAGAAGTCCGAGATGATGCAGAATATTGTTACATTGCGAATTCTCTTTCGCACCTATCCCAACGTTGGCAAATTCCGAACGACACTGAAATATAATGTCCAATTGAAAAGAATTGTGTATTTGGATGTGCCGGAAATAAGTCGCATTAATTCGTATAGAACCGATGCGCCTTGTGAATGGAATACAATAGCAAGAAAGTTTTGCTTTTGTTATCCAAATGCTTATTCACAGTCAAAACGCAGCCAGATCCGCCATATCTAATTGACTTTAGGCTACCGTCTAACCCCAGTATACATTCCAAATTTAAAATCTCTTGCAGGACCGACGGACGGACAGACCAACAAAACTAATATAATTAATTTAATGAAAGTACGGATGAATGCAGATCTCAGTAGTTTCTCAATCCAAACTCATAAACAATTCTGAGCATCAACAATGTCTTGGCTGCTCAGCAATAATGGCCTGCTCCTACTTGCCAGCTTATTTGTCTGTGTCTATATATATTTCTATTCCTTCGTTAGATTCGAATTAGCAAAAACCGAGCCAACCATAAACCCTGAACAGTCCATATCACAAGAAGAAAATTCCCAAATTCCAAGTCAAAACAAATTTAACGTTTTTGATCATGTGTGCAAAATACCAAGAGTCGATCCATTCTCCCCTGATGTCATGGCCATTTTTGAGCCTCCCAAGCCCAAGACCTGTACGGATCAGCCCGGCCTATTCACTGTGCGATATAATAAACAGCAAAAACTATATCTATTGCGCTTTAATAAATCTCTATTCGTCAAACTATTTCCAAGTGTGACCCACTATGCGTGCGTCTTTTACGAGATCGTTAGTGGACCAAGTGATAAGCCCATCTGGTATGTATTTAGATATCTTATGCTGACCTCCATTCAACCATAATTTCGCATTCAGGAACAAGGGATCACCATTTACTTGTAGTAACCGGATCGTGCCCCGTTCCATTCAAGGAATTGTCGTGGAGTGCTTTGAGTTAGGCAACAAGTCTCGAATCCTGCAACGTGATGCATTCTCTTTTGTCCAGCATCTAGTCGGACGGAACGAAGCGAACGATGAGAAGCGCAGTCGGGCCTATCCCAGTGTCATAATGTTGGGCATTGACTCCATGTCTCAGATGAACTTTCAAAGAACGATGCCAATGACTGCAAAGTTTGTGAGGCAGACAGGGTGGAGTGACATGCTTGGTTATAATGGACTATTCAACAATGGCTTTAAAAATATGTTTGACCTATTATCTGGCGGTTCTCCGCAACTGTGGGAGCAGCATTGCGATGTGAAGAGACTGGGTTGCTTGGATACTATTACCTTCCTGTGGAATCATTTTCACAACTCGGGATATTTGACTGCCTATGCGGAAGATTCTCTCTCCTTAGCCTTCACGCGCAAGCCCGTGGATTACTATCTCTATCCCATTCTGAAAGTGTTCAAGGAAATTATGGAAAGGGAAGGGCGTGGTCAGGGGGAATCCGATTACTGCCTGGGCCGGAGAGAGAGTTTCCACTATGTTTTCGAGTCTTGCCTGCAGTTGGTACAGCGATTCATGAATGAGACGCCCAAGCCGCTCTTCGGACTCTACTGGACAAAGACCTTCAGCCATGAGGACTTTAGCGCAGCGGCACGCGTGGATAGGAATTTCGTGAGGTATCTTGAGCTGTACAGGGAGCACGGCTTATTCGATAAGGCAGTTGTCATCTTGTTCAGCCTCCATGGACAGCGCAAGGGACCTTTGATGCGGTTGGCCTCGGGCTTTCTGGAAGAGCGATTACCCATGTTGCACATCTATTTACCGCCTTGGTACCGAAAACAGTATCCAGACGTCAGAAACGCGCTTGAGGTGAATCGTCGTCGGCTGTGCTCCACATATGATTTGCATTTGACTATTAAGAATCTGCTGACACAGGTGCATCCAAATTTGGAGTTTGAAGTCGTGTGCAACAGCTGCATGTCGCTGCTTTACATTATCCCAGAGAATCGCAGTTGTGCAGGGGCAAACATTCCGGAGTGGATTTGCTCGTGTGAGCCATGTAGACGAGTGCCAAATACTGAATTGATGCGGACATGGGCAAAACTAATAGTATTTCGCATTAATCAATACTTGGCTAGAAAAAAGTTGATAAGGTATTGCTCTCACTTGAAATTCGAACACTTGATAACCGTAGATCATCAAGAACTCTATAATTCGGAGGGACAAATTGTGAAACCGGCCGATGGCATTCAAAGGTATCGCATTAAATTCATTACCCAGCCCAATGGCGTTTTCCTTGGCAACATTTTCATCAACAGTCAAAATAATATTGCAGACGTGCCGTACCATCGAATAACACGTTTCAACACTCATAGCAAGTGTGTGGATGGGAGCATAAACAATAATTTATGTGTCTGTCGATAGGCACATGAATATATTAGATTCAAATGATATTTTATTAAATACAAGAATTGGTTTAATTAATTAATAATTAAAAAAGGGGTTTTAAAATGTCGAACAAAACTTTTGCTTTTATTACATTTCAAGTTCAGTTAGGAGTCCCAGCTCTGAGTGAATTTATTCTTATCGCATTCTTGCACATGCAAAATTTTTTAGAAATCGGATCTGAAACACATTTCGAGTCCGGGGCATAAATAGATAAGCGACTTATTTCGTTGATGTCCATATTCAAAGTAGCTGTGCGATTAATCCAGGAGAATGTTACTTCAAATATCCCAATATTTGGTGCCGTTGAAAATTCAATTACGTAATATTGTTCGCTATCATCGGCAGTAGCATTTCGGTTCAATTCAATAATATGATCTAAATATATGATATTAGTTAACGTAAAGTTGGCACAAAGATCCGATAGGTTTTTCTTGACCAAATCATCGTTCATTTGCCGAATTATCGCCAAGGCCATTGGCCTCGCATAGGGTTCCATGGTAACAGTCACTCTGGGATGGCACGTGCACCATTTCTCTGTGATGCCCGCCTGCTCGCAGGTCCTGTTCACAGGCAGCCTATAGAACAACGATTGGCAGGTGGGACATGTCGCTGACATCGGCTGAATGTCCGCATTCTTGGTGCTATTGAGTTGCAGCAAATGCTGCAGCGTCATGTAAATATCGAAGGTCGAGCTCAAGCGATTACGATTCTTTACCAAATTGCCAACGAGACGCGGATATTTGCGCCGAAACCAAGGCGGCAAATAGATGTAAAACATCGGCATACGCTCCTCCAAATACCCAGTTGTAATCTGTCTCAAATAGCCGTAACGCATGCCATGATCGCTAGTTAGTATGACAATCGAACGATTGAAAAGGCCATCTCCTTCGAACTGCTTGAAATACTCAACGAATAGATCGTCTAGGGCGAAGGTCATGTCAAAATAGTCGTGCGAGAAGCTATTTGTCCAAAATAAGCCAAACATCGGTTTCGCCGTACGTATAAAGCGTTGAATGAATTGCTTGGCAAAGTCCCACAGATAGGCAAAGGTCAGATGACGTCCCAGGCAAAGATTTTTATCGAAGAATTCACTCCCATTGAACGTTTTCATCATGGCCATAAGCAGAGGTCGCAAATAGTAGTCGACGGGCTGTTCTATAAATCCCGGTTTCAAATAGTTAAACGTACTTATATTCATCTTATCCTCGGCCATGGCTGTTGTATAATTCAGATCCTTGAAGCGTTTCCAAATGAACGGTAGTTTATCGAAGCATCCAAGTTTACGAACATCGCATATTTTGTCCGTATCCTCGGCGGAGTAGCCCGTTAGCATGGCCAACAGATTGGGCAGAGTGTTATCGCCGACCTTATTGAGACCTTGGAGCGTATACCAGCCAGGTTGCTGCAAATATCTGAATGTTTTGTGCATGGTGCGACGCAGATTGATTCGAGACATGGCATCGATTCCAAATATCAGCACACTTGGCTTTGGGTGCTCCTCTATCTTTTCCGGCAGCTCCTCACTGCTCCTGCCGTCGTAGTCCTGCACGAAGGCAATGCCATCCGATTGTATGACTCGCTTCTCCTTTCCATTGACCACGGCACAATGGACTAGAGCATAGTGAAGGTCCGGTGGCACAAGGAAATCCTGCGTCAGCGTGCGTCTATATAGTACACTATAAGACCATAAAGTTAAATCGCCGATAATCGGATATTTGCCATCATCAACGGATTGTCTCACTGCACAACTCACCGAAAACTATTGTCTACCTGCTTGTTTATCAAATCTCTCACGATTTTTTCGTATTTACATTCCAGCGTCGTATTTCGCTTATACCATGACACGGCCTGTTCCTCTCTAATGTGCAAGCGGTACACTTTCATATCGAAATCGTATTCGGCTACAATTATGTCGCTGTCAGAACGACATTTTTCCAATTTCTTGGGCGTCATGATTTTCAGCACATCTTCCGTAAAGGGGTCCACATAAGGCATTTTACACACAGCACTATTCACAAAATAGGTCGTATTGGACTGCTCACCGGTAGCCCCACAATCTAAAGTCATGAGGCAGCATAGCAATAGCAGCAGCAACACCATTACCATAATACGGAATACAAGGTACTAAGTATTATTTGGGATCTGTTTAAATTATAGACTATAATCATATTTGATATGCCCAGCTGTGACGAATCTAATTAACCTTTCCCGTTATATGTGTGAAAACAAGGTTCAATCTAATGGAGAAATATGAATTCCATTTGAAATATGTGTTTACATATTCTTTAGATATATATCCACAAATGTGGATATAGGGCAACAATATACATGACAAAAAAATATTCTTAATGAAAAATTTATATAATAATTCTTAACTAGAAATCAATATGAACAAGTAAGAATGCTCTAGTGGAGAAGGCTAGACTACGAGCTCCCCTGAACCCTTCGAGCAACTGATATTTTCAATAATTTTATGCTTGGGCTTTCTGCATAAAAAATTCAGATAAAGAAAACATGAAAATACAAAAAATAAAATAAATAAAGTCTTTAGCTATTATATCTTCTGAGAGCGTCGCATTCAAGCATACGGACAGTCGACTCTACGGACAAAAGGGCCGGGTTAAGGCAGCTCAGCTCTATATATATATACTTCATTAGCTCACAAAAGAATTATACGCTGACCTTTCATTTTCCATGGGCTCAGGATATACAAATTATCTATATATTATAAATGAGTATGAGTAACAATTTAGTATAGTTAAAGAAATATATTTCCAAGAAAACTTTGGACTAGTATTATCGTATTCTTATCTAATTTACCAGCTATTCTCATATCGTAATTTCTTATCATTTTTAACGGCTGCCACTGACAGCAGAATACTTATTCAGGGCCTAAAAAGAATTGTATCGATTTGCTATATACCCCATTAATGGTGTATCATGCTTGAGGACTGTGCAAATTATTTGGTATTTTCCGATATACCAAAAAAAAACTGGTTTAAAAATTTAACAAAAATTTTTTATTTTTATTTTTAATTGAAATTATGGAATGGAATGGAATATTTATTAACAAGGAAAATAATTGAATACAATTTTTTACATTCAACAAAACAATTTCACGTCCTTATTATATCTAATATTTGTCTCGACACGTATTTGGCAGTTAAATTATGCTTAAATTAAATCAGCAACGACCACACTTAAATTAAGTAAATGCTGTTTAGGGACGAGTCTTTGACATTATAAATTAGATACCTTTAAAAATATATCGAATATTTACAAATCCATTGAAGAACTTGGTTACGTCTTCAAATTACTGAAGCATATGCAATATAATTTGGCAATTTTATCATTAATACACGTGGAATCCTCTTTATAGGAATTCGTACGACTTATACTCTCCACATTCACATCGACCGCCTCAGTGATGTTGTTGAAGACAACTGTGGCCTGAAAGTCGGCGCTGTTTTGATGAACCTTGAACTTGGTGCGATAGACCGCCTGCTCTATTTCGGGTAGAGCATCCTTCCAGCTGACTTGCTCATCTGTTCGAATTTCCGTATAATGTACATACTCCAATGTTAAATTGCTACATAAATGACTCAGATTCTTTGCTACAAAATATTCATTCATTCGATCGATAATGCGCGGCGCAATGCGATTTGGCCAACCGAACTGGCCGAGGGTTCGATACGGTCGGCAAGTGCACCAATGCTCTGAGATGCCGGCCTGGGCACACGTTCGATTCTCGGCAATCGGATAGAACAATGACTGGCAGGTGGGGCAATCGTAGGATCTGGGCAAAGCCGGCCCGTCCGGTGTACCGCCCAGCTCGATGATATGCTTCAAGGTATTGTGTAAATCGAAATTGGAGCTCAGACGGTGTTGATTGAGCGCTAGCGCCTCGGCGTACTTCGGATACTTTGCACGAAACCATGGCGGCAAATAGATAAACATCATGGGCAGACGTTCCTCCAAATAGCCCTCGGACAGGGTGAGTAAACTGCCAAAGCGTGCACCGTGATCTGCAAAGAATATCATAATTGTGTGCTCCAGCGATCCATCGCTGCTATAGGCCAGCAAATCGCCTAGGACCTTGGGCTCCATAGCCGCGGGCATAGACCAATCGTCGTGACTAAAGTGATTCGACCAGAACATGCCCCAAATGGGTCGCTCTGCCACAAAACGTTGCATGAACTGTCTGCCGTAGTCGTAAATATAATAATTGGCCAAGCGACGACCATAGCAATAGTTCATATAACAACCGGGACACTTATAGGAGGGCAATTCTTCTTCAAGAGCGCGCAGAAATGGACGAAAGTAATAGTCGGTTGGTTTTTTGGTGAAGCCCGGCTTCATATAAGTGAACGTATTCGATCCACTCTCATCCTCCGCATATGCGGTCAAATAGCTGGCATTGTGGAAATAATTCCAGATCATGGGCAACTCGTCCAGGCAGTACTTCACGTTCGTATCACAAACATGCTCCTTGGCCTTCTCCGGCGAATAGCCACTCAAGATGGCCAAAAGATTGGGAAAAGAATTGTCAGCCACCTGAAAGTCATGGACGACGTTCATGTAGACGACGAGAATATGTAGATAGTGATAATGATGATAATACAACCTTGTTGTAGCCCTTCATTTCGTACCAGCCGGGCCCCTTTAGAAATTGATGTACCAGGGGCATAGTTCGACGCAGATTAATCCGAGAGATCGTATCGATGCCATACATAATAACACTCGGCTTACGCGGACTCTGTTTTTGCTCTGACCTACTCGTCTGCAGCTTGGGCTTATCATATTGAACGAATATGAAGGCATCTTTTTGCAATTTAACGGGCGTCGCCTCGGCGGTCTCACAGTCCAGAATCATGCCCTCCACATGCAGTGGCACAACATAGCCCTGAGAGAAATATATGCTCGGACTGAGACTAAGAGAACAAACAACAACGAACAATCAGACGAATTAAGGTTGAAGAGCTTTGCAAAAAGAAAAACTTCGGGTCAATCAGAAATTTACATGTCGTAGGTTTCCA